TCACGCTAAAAGAAAACTTCCTAACATCTCTGTGACTCATCTGAGTTTCCAGTTTCCACCCATGTCCCCTCGTTCTGTTATTATTACGTGTGAACATTTCATCTATTTCCACTTTATCAATTCCCCTGAGTATTTTATATGTCCCTATCATATCTCCTCTCTCCCTTCTTTTCTCTAGTGTCGTTAGGTTCAGTTCCTTCAGCCGCTCTTCATATCCCATCCCTCGTAACTCTGGGACAAGCCTCGTCGCAAACCTCTGAACCTTCTCCAGTTTCTTTATGTGTTTCTTCAGGTGGGGGCTCCATGATGGCGCGGCATACTCTAAGACGGGTCTCACGTAGGCAGTGTAAAGTGCCCTAAAAGCTTCCTCATTTAGGTTCCTGAATGAAGTTCTAATTTTCGCCAGTGTAGAGTACGCTGCTGTCGTTATCCTATTTATATGTGCCTCAGGAGTTAGATTAGGTGTCACATCCACTCCCAGGTCTCTTTCTCGAATCGTTACAGGTAGGCTGTTCCCCTTCATTGTGTACTGTCCCTTTGGTCTCCTGTCACCTGATCCCATTTCCATAACTTTACATTTACTGGTGTTAAACTCCAGTAGCCATTTCCCTGACCATCTCTGCAGCCTGTTTAAGTCCTCTTGGAGGATCCTACAATCCTCGTCTGTCACAACTCTTCTCATTAATTTTGCGTCATCTGCAAACATTGACATGTATGATTCCACTCCTGTAAACATATCATTTACGTAAATTAGAAAGAGGATTGGTCCCAGCACCGATCCTTGAGGTACTCCACTTGTTACTGTTCGCCAGTCCGACTTTTCGCCCCTTACCATTACCCTCTGGCTCCTTCCTGTTAGGTAGTTCTTCACCCATACTAGGGCCTTTCCGCTTACTCCTGCCTGCCTCTCAAGTTTGTATAGCAGTCTCATGTGCGGTACCGTATCAAAGGCCTTTTGGCAGTCAAGAAATATGCAGTCTGCCCAGCCTTCTCTGTCCTGCCTTATCCTTCTTACTTTATCATAGAATTCTAAAAGGTTTGTTAGGCATGATTTCCCTGTCCAGAACCCATGTTGGTGCTGTGTGTGTGTGTGTGTGTGTGTGTGTGTGTGTGTGTGTGTGTACTCACCTAATTCCCCCCTTATTATGCTTACAGAGCCGGACGTGAGCTCCTGCTAATCTGTTTGTTTCATCTCTAAATCGTCTAATGCAATGGCTGCCAACCACTGGATTTCTGACATATCCAATTTTAAACCAGCGAATATAGTTAGGCTGGACTACTTCCTCTTCCGTCGACCAGGAGGCCTGGTCGACGACCGGGCCGCGGGGACACTAAGCCCCGGAAGCACCTCAAGGTAGCCTCAAGGTAGGTAGGTAGCCGCATAATTCCTTTTTCCTCACAAAAGTAAATCTTAACAAAAGTAACTATTTCTCTCGCCTGAGTTTCTAAAGTCCATCCACACCATGCAAATATTTTGGATGGATTTCTAGCCAAAATATAATAATGTATAATGAATATATAATGATATAATAATGTTTAAACAAGCGTTCCAAAGCAATTTGTATAATGTAACTAGATTTTTATTTGCAATGTTGTTGTCTTATGCTGTAGCAATTCGAGAAAACTGTGTTTTTGTTTAACAAGTTTTAAATGCTTGTATAAATTAGCAATCTTTAAGTCTAGAAACTTTAAAGTAACTTTAAAATACACATTTGTTATACATTTTATTCACTGTATAACTCATTTAGTATAACTTTTGTATTGTATATATAACGTTTCTTATCGTTTCAGTTTTATGTATTTAATTATTTTTTAACTTTTATTATAAACTCAATTTGTAAAATATTGAATAAGTTTATGCAACATTTGGCGAATATATTGTTGTAGAGGAAATAAATGAGTGAACCATAAGAGGGAAGACAGTGAGGGAAATGAAGATATGAGGGGAGAGTATGAGAGGGGAGAGTGTATGGGAAGGGAGAAGGAAGAGAGGAGAAAAGGGAGACATTATGAAAGGAAAGGTTAAAATAAATAAGATTGGGAGGGGGGGGGATATGGGTAAAGAGAGGAGATTAAATAAGGAACAGAAGAAGCAAATAATTGGAGTGAGAGAGGAGTAAAGAGAGGCGGAGGAAGTGTAGAAGAGAGAAGACATAATAAGAGAAGAAGAAGAGATAGAGACGGGGAAAAATCAAGTGATGGTTAGTCACCAGGAAAGGGGCCACGACTCACCAGGGGAGCACCCATGATTCACCAGGGGAGGAACTGTCACACACAAAGGGTCGGGGGAAACGTATCATGGGAGGGGATGCAAGGGGCCCCCATGATATGACATGAGGGGAAGCTCACTTGCCCCATTACTCATCTGCCCATTCCTCCCCCCATCTTCCCCTCAGTAATGTCTTAAGTCATTCTGGGGATTCCTGATTTTTTCTGAGAAGGGAGAGAGAGAGAGGGGGAGATATGGGGAGTGTCAGGGGTTGATGGGGAGTGTCAGGGGGGGATGGGGGAGTGTCAGAGAGTGATGGGAGAGTGTCAGGGGGGTGATGGGGGAGTGTCAGGGGGTGATGGGGGAGTGTCAGGGGGTGATGGGGAGTGTTAGGGGTGATGGGGAAGTGTCAGGGGGTGATGGGGAGTGTCAGGGGGTGATGGGGGAGTGTCAGGGGGTGATGGGGAGTGTTAGGGGTGATGGGGAAGTGTCAGGGGGTGATGGGGAGTGTTAGGGGTGATGGGGAGTGTCAGGGGGTGATGGGGAGTGTCAGGGGGTGATGGGGGAGTGTCAGTGGGTGATGGGGGAGTGTCAGAGGGTGATGGGAGAATGTCAGGGGGGTGATGGGGGAGTGTCAGGGGTTGATGGGGAGTGTCAGGGGGTGATGGGGGAGTGTCAGAGGGTGATGGGAGAGTGTCAGGGGGGTGATGGGGGAGTGTCAGGGGGTGATGGGGGAGTGTCAGGGGGTGATGGGGAGTGTTAGGGGTGATGGGGAAGTGTCAGGGGGTGATGGGGAGTGTCAGGGGGTGATGGGGGAGTGTCAGGGGGTGATGGGGAGTGTTAGGGGTGATGGGGAAGTGTCAGGGGGTGATGGGGAGTGTTAGGGGTGATGGGGAGTGTCAGGGGGTGATGGGGAGTGTCAGGGGGTGATGGGGGAGTGTCAGTGGGTGATGGGGGAGTGTCAGGGGGGTGATGGGGGAGTGTCAGGGGTGATGGGGAGAGTGTCAGGGGGGTGATGGGGGAGTGTCAGGGAGTGATGGGGAAGTGTCAGGGGGTGATGGGGAGTGTCAGGGGGTGATGGGGAGTGTCAGGGGTGATGGGGGAGTGTCAGGGGGTGATGGGGAGTGTCAGGGGTGATGGAGGAGTGTCAGGGGGTGATGGGGGGAGTGTCAGGTGGTGATGGGGAGTGTCAGGGGGTGATGGGGAGGGGCGTGGCAAGAGTTATTTACGCTAGACCAACGACGAGACAGTAATGGGGAAAGTTAAGTGACATGGGTGAGGGGACGAGGGTGAGGGGACGAGGGGACGAGGGGGTGAGGGGACGAGGGTGAGGGGGCGAGGGGTGAGGGGACGAGGGGTGAGGGGACGAGGGTGAGGGGACGAGGGGACGAGGGGGTGAGGGGACGAGGGGTGAGGGGACGAGGGGACGAGGGGTGAGGGGACGAGGGGTGAGGGGACGAGGGGTGAGGGGACGAGTGTCGCCGACACAATCACGGGGGGGGGGTGAGGATGTCGTTATTACTGCTTAATGCAGGAGGGGGAAGCGTAGTGAGGCTCCTGGGGGGAGGGGGAGAGGGGGGAGGGGGAGAGGGGGGAGGGGAGGGGGGGTTAGAGGGGTGAGGATGAAGGGGTTTCGTGCTAGTAGAGGGGATCGCAGCTGTGATGGTCGTGTTGGTTAGGGGATGGAAGGGGGAGGGAGGATAGAGTAAAGGGGAGGCAGGATAGAGTAAGGGGGAGGGAAGATAGAGTAAGAGGGAGGGAGGATAGAGTAAAGGGGAGGGAGGATAGAGTAAAGGGGAGGCAGGATAGAGTAAGAGGGAGGGAGGATAGAGTAAAGGGGAGGGAGGATAGAGTAAAGGGGAGGGAGGATAGAGTAAAGGGGAGGCAGGATAGAGTAAAGGGGAGGCAGGATAGAGTAAAGGGGAGGGAGGATAGAGTAAAGGGGGAGGGAGGATTGAGTAAGGGGTGGTGAGTGATGGGTAGGAGAGGAAGGAGGAAGCGGAAGGGGCGGATAAAACGAAGGAAGGGAAGTGTGGGGGAGGAGGATAGGCAAGTAAGAATAATAGAATAAATGGCTCGATAGAGAACCTGAATAACAGTACTGAAAAGTAGGAGAATGGACAGCAAAGTATGGCTTAGTCGCTCCTGTTTTAAATTGTCGAATATCGCTGTAAGAGACAAATTAGTACCAAATTGGAAATTCTCGTCCAAAATAGGTTATTATCACGAATATTTCCTCCCCTGCTCCCCCTATTACCCTACTGAAGCTAACTGAAATTACATTTTTGTATATAACGAAAATGTGAGTTAAAAACTGTAGTTTTCTCTAAGTAAATACGTAGCAATATATATACCTCAAAATCACTGTTTTTTTTTTTAGGTCTAGTTATCTATGTTGTTTTAAAATCATCTCACCCTTTTGAATAATAAATTGAATTTAAACAAATAGGACAAAATATTAAAATATAATTAAAGGTAAAATTACCTGTAATCATATTTATAAAAATGCAACAAGCTGTATAAGATTGAATGTAAAAATGCATCACACGAACTCTGTAACAGCCGGAGTCAATTACTCTGTAACAAGGAGAAAATCATGAAGTTGTAATCCCTTTTATACTAGTGAAAATAGTATTAAATTGTACAATTGGCAATTAGTCGTCTCATACGGTTGAAGACCTAAGGGTCGTTTAGTCACGTCAACACTAAGTTAAAAAGCTGTAAATTGCTTTTGTGGTGTCTATTAAGACTGGTTCATCTGTGGGTCACTCTGGAGCTACGGTGTGACGTTCTAGGTTGGTGCTGTTACACTGTGGTTTGTCTTCATGCGTGGGCTGGCGTACAGGGCTGGCGTACAGGGCTTCGAGGGCTGGCGTACAGGGCTGGCGTACAGGGCTGCGAGGGCTGGCGTACAGGGCAGCGAGGGCTGGCGTACAGGGCTGCGAGGGCTGGCGTACAGGGCTGCGAGGGCTGGCGTACAGGGCTGCGAGGGCTGGCGTACAGGGCAGCGAGGGCTGGCGTACAGGGCTGCGAGGGCTGGCGTACAGGGCAGCGAGGGCTGGCGTACAGGGCAGCGAGGGCTGGCGTACAGGGCAGCGAGGGCTGGCGTACAGGGCTGCGAGGGCTGGCGTACAGGGCAGCGAGGGCTGGCGTACAGGGCTGCGAGGGCTGGCGTACAGGGCTGCGAGGGCTGGCGTACAGGGCTGCGAGGGCTGGCGTACAGGGCAGCGAGGGCTGGCGTACAGGGCAGCGAGGGCTGGCGTACAGGGCTGCGAGGGCTGGCGTACAGGGCAGCGAGGGCTGGCGTACAGGGCTGCGAGGGCTGGCGTACAGGGCAGCGAGGGCTGGCGTACAGGGCTGCGAGGGCTGGCGTACAGGGCTGCGAGGGCTGGCGTACAGGGCTGCGAGGGCTGGCGTACAGGGCAGCGAGGGCTGGCGTACAGGGCTGCGAGGGCTGGCGTACAGGGCTGCGAGGGCTGGCGTACAGGGCTGCGAGGGCTGGCGTACAGGGCAGCGAGGGCTGGCGTACAGGGCAGCGAGGGCTGGCGTACAGGGCTGCGAGGGCTGGCGTACAGGGCAGCGAGGGCTGGCGTACAGGGCTGCGAGGGCTGGCGTACAGGGCAGCGAGGGCTGGCGTACAGGGCTGCGAGGGCTGGCGTACAGGGCAGCGAGGGCTGGCGTACAGGGCTGCGAGGGCTGGCGTACAGGGCAGCGAGGGCTGGCGTACAGGGCAGCGAGGGCTGGCGTACAGGGCAGCGAGGGCTGGCGTACAGGGCTGCGAGGGCTGGCGTACAGGGCTGCGAGGGCTGGCGTACAGGGCTGCGAGGGCTGGCGTACAGGGCTGCGAGGGCTGGCGTACAGGGCTGCGAGGGCTGGCGTACAGGGCAGCGAGGGCTGGCGTACAGGGCAGCGAGGGCTGGCGTACAGGGCAGCGAGGGCTGGCGTACAGGGCAGCGAGGGCTGGCGTACAGGGCAGCGAGGGCTGGCGTACAGGGCTGCGAGGGCTGGCGTACAGGGCTGCGAGGGCTGGCGTACAGGGCTGCGAGGGCTGGCGTACAGGGCTGCGAGGGCTGGCGTACAGGGCAGCGAGGGCTGGCGTACAGGGCTGCGAGGGCTGGCGTACAGGGCTGCGAGGGCTGGCGTACAGGGCTGCGAGGGCTGGCGTACAGGGCTGCGAGGGCTGGCGTACAGGGCTGCGAGGGCTGGCGTACAGGGCAGCGAGGGCTGGCGTACAGGGCTGCGAGGGCTGGCGTACAGGGCAGCGAGGGCTGGCGTACAGGGCTGCGAGGGCTGGCGTACAGGGCAGCGAGGGCTGGCGTACAGGGCAGCGAGGGCTGGCGTACAGGGCAGCGAGGGCTGGCGTACAGGGCTGCGAGGGCTGGCGTACAGGGCTGCGAGGGCTGGCGTACAGGGCTGCGAGGGCTGGCGTACAGGGCTGCGAGGGCTGGCGTACAGGGCTGCGAAGGCTGGCGTACAGGGCTGCGAGGGCTGGCGTACAGGGCAGCTTGATCGTCTGTCAGTGAGTTATTAACAGACAAACACGCTTAGGACCACACACACAGCAGTATGCTGCTGCCCTTTAGTATTTAAGGGATTACAGAATATAGATCAAGAACCAGCTGCGAGTTCATCTAACATCACCATCTCACAGGATGGTTAGTCAAGCTTGGAATCGGGAGAATACATTAGATCCGCGTGTAATCAACTAGCCTGCACTAGCACACTCTTGGGTAAACACGAGAAGATCTTCCAATATTCGTGAATGCATGAAGATACAAAGTGTATGAAGCAGCTCTAAGTGTCTCATCCCGTTTGGTCATGTTATTGTTAACAAGACACTCATGTAGTGCAGGAGAGTGTATCCCAGCTCCTGTTCACAAAGTTTACAACTGGAATGTTCACCTTTGTGGGAACTCATTACCTTAAGCCACTTGCCATAAGTATATATATCCCAGCCTAATTCTGGTAATGCAGGCGATGAGTCACAATAACGTGGCTAAAGTATGTTGAGCAGACCACACACTAGAAGGTGAAGGGACGACGACGTTTCGGTCCGTCCTGGACCATTCTCAAGTCGATTGTCTTGACTTGAGAATGGTCCAGGACGGACCGAAACGTCGTCGTCCCTTCACCTTCTAGTATGTGGTCTGGTCAACTAATTCTGGTAATGACAGTGTCACACTGTCATTACCAGAATTATTGTCATCTTATTATTGAATTATTGTCATTACCGTTATTGTCATCTGACAACTATAGTTGTCCGGACATAACGTTCTCGGTTCTAGACATATCATAACTCTATATACCCGTCCTTTCCGCACTAGCAGTGTCAGTGATTGCTTCTTTGTCAGCCGTAGTTTCTTGAAATAGTACAGTTTTAACGAGAGGAATTGTAATGCCTAGAGGTATGATGTGGGGAGGTGGCTGCCTTGTTCGTGTCATCACGTTCGACAACACCTGTGTGAGATGGTGGCCACACCCAGGTACAGGTAGCCACACCCAGGTACAGGTAGCCACACCCAGGTACAGGTAGCCACACCCAGGTACAGGTAGCCACACCCAGGTACAGGTAGCCACACCCAGGTACAGGTAGCCACACCCAGGTACAGGTAGCCACACCTAGGTACAGGTAGCCACACCCAGGTACAGGTAGCCACACCCAGGTACAGATAGCCACACCCAGGTACAGATAGCCACACCCAGGTACAGATAGCCACACCCGGGTACAGATAGCCACACCCAGGTACAGGTAGCCACATCCAGGTACAGATAGCCACACCCAAGTACAGGTAGCCACACCCAGGTACAGATAGCCACACCCAGGTACAGGTAGCCACACCCAGGTACAGGTAGCCACACCCAGGTACAGGTAGCCACACCCAGGTACAGGTAGCCACACCCAGGTACAGGTAGCTACACCCAGGTACAGATAGCCACACCCAGGTACAGATAGCCACACCCAGGTACAGATAGCCACACCCAGGTACAGATAGCCACACCCGGGTACAGATAGCCACACCCAGGTACAGGTAGCCACATCCAGGTACAGATAGCCACACCCAAGTACAGGTAGCCACACCCAGGTACAGGTAGCCACACCCAGGTACAGGTAGCCACACCCAGGTACAGGTAGCCACACCCAGGTACAGGTAGCCATACCCAGGTACAGGTAGCTACACCCAGGTACAGGTAGCCACACCCAGGTACAGGTAGCCACACCCAAGTACAGGTAGCCACACCCAGGTACAGATAGCCACACCCAGGTACAGATAGCCACACCCGGGTACAGATAGCCACACCCAGGTACAGGTAGCCACACCCAGGTACAGGTAGCCACACCCAGGTACAGATAGCCACACCCAGGTACAGGTAGCCACACCCAGGTACAGGTAGCCACACCCAGGTACAGGTAGCCACACCCAGGTACAGATAGCCACACCCAGGTACAGGTAGCCACACCCAGGTACAGGTAGCCACACCCAGGTACAGGTAGCCACACCCAAGTACAGGTAGCCACACCCAGGTACAGATAGCCACACCCAGGTACAGATAGCCACACCCAGGTACAGATAGCCACACCCAGGTACAGATAGCCACATCCATGTAGCGAAACCACACCAGTATTCCCGAGTACCATAGCAGTCTACATGTCCCTATATCCGTATAACAAGAACTACGGGCTCGCCATAGACCGTACTACTTGGAGCTTTTTGTTCCGAGTAGCCAATCTTTAACAACAACGTATAACAAGTGTACCAAAGCTGCACTATACCTGCCGGTACACTCGTATACTCGTGTACCGTACCAGCACTGTACCGCACCAGCACTGTACCGCACCAGCACTGTACCGCACCAGCACTGTACCGCACCAGCACTGTACCGCACCAGCACTGTACCGCACCAGCACTGTACCGTACCAGCACTGTACCGTACGAGCACTGTACCGCATCAGCACTGTATCGTACCAGCACTGTACCGTACCAGCACTGTACCGCATCAGCACTGTACCGTACCAGCACTGTACCGCACCAGCACTGTACCGCATCAGCACTGTATCGTACCAGCACTGTACCGTACCAGCACTGTACCGCATCAGCACTGTATCGTACCAGCACTGTACCGTACCAGCACTGTACCGTACCAGCACTGTACCGTACCAGCACTGTACCGTACGAGCACTGTACCGCATCAGCACTGTATCGTACCAGCACTGTACCGTACCAGCACTGTACCGTACCAGCACTGTACCGTACCAGCACTGTACCGTACGAGCACTGTACCGCATCAGCACTGTATCGTACCAGCACTGTACCGTACCAGCACTGTACCGTACCAGCACTGTACCGTACCAGCACTGTATCGTACCAGCACTGTACCGTACCAGCACTGTACCGTACCAGCACTGTACCGTACCAGCACTGTACCGTACCAGCACTGTATCGTACCAGCACTGTACCGTACCAGCACTGTACCGTACCAGCACTGTTCCGTACCAGCACTGTACCGTACCAGCACTGTACCGTACCAGCACTGTACCGCACCAGCACTGTACCGTACCAGCACTGTACCGTACCAGCACTGTACCGTACCAGCACTGTACCGTACCAGCACTGTATCGTACCAGCACTGTACCGTACGAGCACTGTACCGTACCAGCACTGTACCGTACCAGCACTGTACCGTACCAGCACTGTACCGTACCAGCACTGTACCGTACCAGCACTGTACCGTACCAGCACTGTATCGTACCAGCACTGTACCGTACGAGCACTGTACCGTACCAGCACTGTACCGTACCAGCACTGTATCGTACCAGCAAGTTTATCTCCTCTACTTTTCCTGCAAAAATTGGTTATTCCCCTGAGAGGCATTTCCCTCCGAGTAAGGTAACGTGGTATATATATGCTTGTTCCTCTTCCTCAGCAAGAATTTATGTAGCAAGAGGTCACATATCAGGCCATGGGCGCGTGCCCTAATGACCTCCCTCGGGGCCCGATCATTGAATACAAGAGAATAAATAAATAAATTTTCCGTTTAGTCAGGAAGGTGAAACACCTTAATATTTTCTGAGGGCCGTTTTCTTGACAGTTAAGGCTCCTGGAGTTCTTTACCTACAACACCTGTTTTTCACGTGGATTATCGTGTAGCGTTTTCTTAATCTTCAAGAGCTCTAATAGAAATATGTGGTAAAGATTAGGGAAGGGATTGGGACCATTGATAACTAAGGCGTAGGTCCAGTAGTTGACAATAACGAAGTATTCGTTTACAGGCGATGAGTCACAATAACGTGGCTAAAGTAAGTTGACCAGACCACACGCTAGAAGGTGAAGGGACGATGACGTTTCGGTCCGTCCTGGACCATTTTCAAGTCGATTGTGAGAATGGTCCAGGACGGACCGAAACGTCGTCGTCGTCCCTTCACCTTCTAGTGTGTTGGTCTGGTCAAGTATTCGTTTAGATCGATGTTCTCTAAATGAATACTTCCTCACGGTATTCAGCTGTGACAATTTACATCCACCTCAACTTACTATTAAGGAACAAATCCACAAGGGCCGTGACGAGGATTCGAACCTACGTCCGAGAGGTATTGTAACCTACGTTACTATGAAGGTGTTGAAAAGGACGGACTAGTCTTGTGTTTACCAGCAAGATCCCCCACATATCCCCAGACGAACGACTTCTTACTCCTGGAGAAAATGTAATTTCTAGCCTTCTCATCCCATGCAATGCATATTTAATAAATTAAAGTTGAGCAGCGTTGCAGAGACACAGACGGTGGTGTGTGTGGGCCGTGTAATGTTAAACAGAAGGATAGCTCACTGGAATCACAGTATTAACCAATTAGTTCGCTGCCTTTTGTGTGATAAGTGATTGATTCCGTAATTACAAACACCAATGCTGCTCATCTTGAAAAACACAGATTATTGTAGGATTTACAGCATGGCTGTACCAGGGGTAGATTATGTAGCAGGGGGTAGACTGTGTACCATGGGTAGATTATGAACAAGGGCTACATTATGTACCAGGGGTAGATTATGTACCAGGGGGTAGATTATGTACCATGTGTACATTATGTACCAGGGGGGGTAGATTGTGTACCAGGGGGGTAGATTATGTACCAGGGGTAGATTTTGTACCAGGGGTAGATGATGTACCAGGGGGGGGTAGATTGTGTACCAAGGGGGTAGATTATGTACCAGGGATAGATCATGTTATCAAATCTACACCACAGTTGTACCCGAAGACTGTGTCAAAATATTGCAAAATTATCTACCAAGAATATAACAAAGACCTTGTCACTGTTTCTCAACCAAGTATGTTCACTGTACACTGTAACTCCCTGAACACTGTATCACCATCATTCTCCGTTGGCCATTACAGAGACACCACGCGATCATCACTCACTGTAATCACCACAGTTCACGGTATAATTACATTACTTCGCACACTTCTGCAATAGACTGTAGAGTGGTGTCACAAGCACTTATATGGTGAGGCAGGGTCGTGTGTGTG